CCCCAAAACCCCAAAACCCCAAAACCCCAAAACCCCTTCTAGATATCACTAAATTGAATTTATTCAAAAATGCCAACTTTCATCTAGGTCTTTTGATTTCTTAGATTTTACAAGTTTAAACCATCTTGAGATGGTAAAAAGATAAAATAAAAGCTGCAGAGCTTTGCGAAAGCCTCGCTATCGTAGAGTCTAGGGGTAGACTCTCTCTAAAGTACTCAAACTCTATCAAATTAGTATTTTTGAATCTTGGTTTTCTTTGCATAAACTAATAGATCTCTATTGAATAGACTGGACCATTTTAGTACCATAAACTAAATCAGGGCTCCTATTTAACGATGATTAGCTGACATTTGGAACAAAGGCCTAGACTTATATTAAGAGAAGAAAGAATTTAATGACGTTTATAAGTTCCAAAATGTGACAATTTATTTATGAGTGTAAATTTATGCCTGATTTTCATATTTAACAGCTCATTACAAATCGACATCTGAGGATTCTTCTCGCAAAGAGAGTGCTATAAAGTTCAGATAATGGTAATCTTTAAATTTTTAAATATCTACTGAGTTCCTGATAATTCTTGACAAGAGATCACTAGGCATTCCTTAGGACTATCAGTGAGAGATGGTGATCAAGAAACCCATCAGTTTTAGAAACAGTTGAAGCTGTAACTCACGTTAGGAGAAAACAAAGTCATAGGAAATCCTAGATGCGATTTCTCAATATGACAAACTGTGTAAAATTGTCTCGGAATATAGAAATCATCTAAATATTGCAAGAGAAAATAGGCTACTTATTTGTTGCAAAAACTTATTTTATACCAAGTTATGAATAAAAATTTCTTCTTACATTGAGAGTAACATCGCTATCCCTTATGATTCAGATTTCCATTATGAAATCACAAATAGGTAAATTATTAACCATTATTATTCGTGGTATTTTAAGTAAAAATGAGTTAATAAGTTATTTTTGGATATCATCTCATCCTCTTCACCTCTGCATCTGTTCTGAATTCTATAATTTCCTTAACCTCCAAAAACTGAGCTTACTCTCCACAAGTCTAGCCCCTATAATTATTGATTCATAAAATCACCAGAATATGTTATTTCCCAAACCTCAGTTTTTTTTCATGCAAAAAGTACAGATCTAGCTAGGATTAGACCAATGGCCCAAAAATAAGACTTCCCTAGCATAATTAAGAAAGTAGCATTGTTATCATAATTACTGAAAGAAAAAGCAACATGGAGTCTATAGCCATAACATTCTACATTAGTATTATACCTGAAAGATGCTCAAGAGCCCTCAGCCTTGTTAAAGATGCAACAACTGAAATCCTACCAAAATATAGAACCAAATCAGAGTACTGGCTAGGATGTAAAATAAAGGAATCAGGATATCGCTCACCATTTATGAGCAATTGCTGTTAACTTTAGAAGCCCTTAAATCTCAGTTTGTTAAGAATTAAATATGACTTAATTATAATAAGAGTGATTCTCTGGTCTATATAAACTTGTAAATTATTAACATGAGATTTTTATACTTTGGGATACTTTGGATAGGAAAATTTCAGTAATTTTAAAATTACTGAAGACTAAAAATAAATTTTATTATATGAGTTATAAGAGAGTTTGGAATTAGTGGTAGGAAAGTAGCCCAACTTGGCAGATGCAGAGCCAGTTTAGGGGGATTAAGGAAGGTTTGTTTTAATTATAGTGAGGAGTTCTATAGATCAAACTTGGAGGTCAGTTTTTCGTTTATACTGAACCATTATGAGCACGATTCTTCGTGCTTTAATACTTTAAATTTTTATCTCAGTTATTAGCTCGTTTTGGAATCTATAAGCGAGAGACGATAAACTATTTCTTGTCTAAGTATTCTTACCCTTATCATACTAACACTCATCTACAAGAGGATTATATTTAGGCCAGAAGTTCTTTCTATTCACGAAATATAACATCAATTTTTTAAAACTGACTTATACTAACCCTACTCCTTCTACACTGAACGACAGATGGCATCTTTGAAATTCATCATTTAATCTTTGAAAACCCTAATTCCAAATTTAGAGCCAATTCAAGCGAATCATAGGTCTTTTTTATTTTCTTTGAAAGCCATAAAGAGTAAGGTTTCTCAATCTGAAACATCTTTATGCTTAGATCTTCAATTGTAGAACTGACAGACTATCCCAACGTCAAGGCTAGTACTATTTCAAGCGATATGGTTTTATAGAGCTGTTTATGAATCTTCAAAACAAATCTATTCAGGGCTCGAACTCTAGATATTTTCCCAAATGTCAAACTAAAATAAACAGTATTTTTGCATTATGTAATGTACTTATTTAAGAATTATTAAGGTTGAAGCAAATTGCTGGCAAGAGTTAGTGCCACACTTCTTCAGACGACCTTGTAGATGCAGTATCGTCGTCTCTAATCATTCATCTCACGATTTTCGGTTGTTTGTTGCTAATGTAGGTGACTTTGAATTCAGGAGTCTCATTCACTTCTTCTACAGCCATCTTTCAGAGAAGCTTCCTCACTCTGAATACATTCGAGCAAGATTTGCTCTTCTTTGACTTTTTTTGAGGAGATTCGAGTGAACGACTGTGACCAAGAGGGTTAGAGAGATTGTTATTCATTTCTATTTACTAGTTTAAATATTATTTTCAATACTGAATAAATAGTTTGGGGTTTTGGGGTTTTGGGGTTTTGGGGG